TTCTCGAACTATGAGGTCATGAGGGTACTAGGATTCCAATGGTTCTTGCTTGAAGACACAATGCCTAGAAAGGCTTCCAATCGTCGAGAGGAAATGGGCCCTTACACAAAAGCACACCCTTCAATGGCATAGACAGTGGACAGTTTGGGCCGGCGCCGGGCCTTGTCACAGTTGCAAAAAGCAGACAAGCCGGAGTGGGTGCCAAGGTTTATTGAGGTGGTTAACAGACGTTGTCAGTCTGTTTGTTTGTGTTTTGCATTTAATGTAGGGGCCTTAATCATTACCTATACTATTTTGGGGGTTCCTCATTATACTTATAGTATGATGGGCCCCCAAAAACCCTGTCCTAGTTCCCTACAGCCCCTACAGTAGGTGCGCAGGGCAGTTTGGCATTGCTGGTAAGCCTCAGTACTTCACAAGAGAGCTGCAGACTTCGTGTGTCTGAAACATCAAATTGGAGGTCTTTGTGGTAAGGATCCGAAAATTTAGGGTTTAGGGTTTGGGGGAACATATGGGTTTCTAGAGGGCCCTTTCTCTCTTGTCTGCTACTCCCATACACGGTTTGCTAATGGTTGCCCAGTTTCTTGAAAGGGCGGGTTTCGGTGGATTTCTGGGTTCCCGAACTCAAGTGGTTTGCTGTTGAGACATCCAATCTAACCCTAAACCCAAACCCCTGGGTCTGTTTACTGCCTCGGCGGAGCGAAAGGGACCATTGCACTTAAAAAAAAAACTCAACCCTAAACCCTAAACCCTAAACCGAGGGGCCATGAGACTTGATTATAAGAGATCAGGGGCCTCAAGCCTTCACCGAAGGGTTTTAGGGTTTAGGGTTTAGGGTTTAGGGTTTAGGGTGGTTCTCCCATAAACCTGAACACTCCCTCCTCGCAACAAAGGCATGTAGCTGTTTTTGAGCTTAGATGTCGGGTCTGGAGATCAGGCTATTACTTCGGTTCTCGGACAAAGGAGCTCAGTGTCCAAGCAATGGCAGAGTTAGGTTTTGATGTTTAGGGTTTGGCTTTCGGTCTTGGAGATGAATCTCTGCGAGCATTTGGCTTAGATTCTGAGAACTGCTTTAAACGCCGAACCTAGCCCGCACGTTTTCCCAAGTCGCTGCCTATGACTTGTCGATGGAATATAAGCTTCCGTGTGGAAAGAACAGGACGACAGGACGATTACATGCCACTTGGGATGCTCAGGCAGGCCCGGTCAAAGCCACGCGACTTGAAACACGAAGCCCCACCCTGTAGCACGAAAGCCCGAAACCCAGCAGCACTCCATGTCTATTCCTAGGACCATTACTATGATAATATGATATCACAAGTACCAAGATATTACGATTACTATTGCTATGGCTATGACCCGTACTTCTAGAATAAGGTTTAACAAGCATTATGTCTGAATACAATTACTCTGACTATATTATAACTCCATACGACACGTCCTTGCAACTGCAAACCCCTAAACCCCCAAACCCCCGAACCCCAAACCCCTAAACCCGAAACCCTAAAACCCCAAACACTAAACCCTAAACTGTGTCCCTGGGTCTGAGATGCGTTGCTGGCGAGGCGGGAGGGAGCACGGACTCTGTTGAGGATTTAGGGTTCAGGGTTTAGTAGGGTGTTTTGGGCTTAGGGGTTTAGGAATTCGGTTCGAAAGCTTTATTAAACCTGCAAGGAGTACCTATTTAGGGCTCCAGAACATTAGGGCGGCGCTTTGGCCCTTATGGTTCCTATAGAGGTACCTATTCGTAAATATTTTTCAGGGCCCAAAAACTACAACCCAGCTATACTGTTTAACCTTAGCTGGGCCAGTAGCCGATTTTCTAGGCAGCAGGAGCCCCATGGCCCTAAAGGGGTAGATAAGACCTATGGGGTCATACCCTACCCCTTTTAAAGGTACTTAGTTGTTTGGTTAGGATCTGCTATATAAAGAAGTGGGTACCCTAACAAAGGGGTCGGGTATGACCCTGTAGGGAATGGGTGCACGATGGGGTTAGGGTTCTGCGTCTCGGAGAAGGTCTAGTCCAGGCCTTGAGCCATGGGTTCTAAAATCCTAAACCTGAAGCTCAGACTCTATGGGGTGTAGCGTTTTCATAGGGTTTTCATAGGGCTTTATAGGGTTCTGTCGGGCTTTTATGGGGGGGGGGGGGG